TTTTTTTTTGAAGAACCACCATTTTTTTAACAACATCCTTTTGCGTTCTCACTGATTTTTTGTAGCATTTGATGAAGCCATTGTCGATGATGTTTATGATTACTGGCTGGCGAAACGAGAAAAGAGCACGACGGTCCGGTCACTTCAGCTCGGTGTAGGAGGTTTAATACCCCGCGTTCGCACTGAATGCCGAAAAGTAGGTAGTTTCACTGTTAACAGCCATCATCTTTATTTCAAATTCAAATATAGGACCAGCAGGGTGGAGTAAATCCGTACGTGGCGTTCAGAAGACGTGCTGAGAAGATGCAAACAAGGAAGAATAGAAAGAATGATGAAGATTCGTACGAGAAGGTAGAAATTAGATTATCAACCGATATGAACATAAATGAAAATATAAAACGTTTTTTCTTACAAATTATACCATTCAACCAACTCTTCCCAAATTTATCGTACTTCTTTTCAACACCTGCATTTTAAGGTACTCAAACTTGGACACGATTTACGCAAAACCGTTACACTGTTCGACATGGTTAAGCGACGGGAGAAAACAAAAATAGCATTGATAGATCTTGATTCCGAAATTCTCGCACATCGGATGGGATTGCTAGATTTTGGCTCTAATATCTACAATCAATTCGTGGCCAAAATTAGGGAATCGGGAAAGCACGTTTCGACGGGTACCACTAACGGCGTTGCTAAATCAGAGGTCTGAAACTTTATTTTCCATCTTTATATTCTCTGCTGGATAACTGGAAGCTGTATTGTCAGGATGATGCTATTCTGCGAAAGAAAGCAAAACGAAGGAAAATTAGAACAATGGCTGCTAATGTTGACCGTGAGGTTCCTAGTAAGGTATGGCTTTACAGCACCTACATCTGTTTGCTCATTACGAATACATCAATAAAAGTTCATGCAAATAGCAACGATGCGTACTTCCTTAGGCATGGTTGAAAAAGAATGCGGAGGTATGGAATCGACCGCCTTCAGTTTTTGCCCCATCTGGGATTTCGCCTGTTGCCGAAGTGGATCAGTCTGCACAGGCCATATGTGATGCAAATCTCGATGGAAAGTATGTATTCAAGCGGAGACGAGGATGCATGTATCGCAGCCCACTTTCCAACAACAACATTATGGAAGAGCATATCGAGGCGAAGGTCGTTAGTTCAAGATTGGTTTCTCACAAGTATTTAATTCATGCTAATTACTTTTTTGTAGATTTTCTAAACCTAAGTTGGTTTTTTATGTGTGCTAATGTTTTATATGTTCAGATTCCAAAAAAGCAACATCTGTACGAAACTTATCTCCCTCGTCAAGATGGTACAATCCGTCGGTTTGGATTGGCAAGGCGAAGGCTGGGAAGAGGAGGACGAGTGGTTTTCGACCGTTTTCAACCCAATGATGCCCCTCGTGTACCTAATCCATGTGATCCATTCCTGGACAACTTCCTCCAAGATAGTTCAGTGTTAGTAGGAAAATAACTTCTACATGTTATTTCGGCACATCTCATCTGTTTGTTAACAGGTCTTTCCGCGCACGGCTCCGTCCTTTAATTGAAACTGATGCACATAGAAGAACATTTCTCAACTGGGATAGAGCTGTGGAAGAGGATTGTGAACAGCGATGGTTAACAAGTGGCCATTGTTCAAGTAGCAATGATTGTCCCTCACAGGATAGTCCCGCCTCAGATAGTCAACCCGCACTTGCAGCAAGAATGTCGTCCAATCCACCTTCCGCCACCCAGTCGGGAAACGGATTGGCGGGCAGAGTGGACCCATGCACCCTCACGTCGACCAAGGTTAGAGACAAATCTTGAAAATATGTTAGGGCTACCGTAGAACGAACTTTTTT